TCAGAAACAAGTGGCCAAAAGAAAAATATATGTGGAAAACACTCAGCTCACCTTATTTCTTACCCAAATTCTAATGATTCCTTGGCGGCTATGCGGTGATAGAAAATCAGGAGTGGACGGACGAAAGAAAGGAAGGAAGCTGACGGTTTATAGGTGGATCTGGGTGGGGTAAAATGGGGAGGGCTAGTGCTGAGATCCAATCGATGCAAACCAAATGAACAAGAAAAATTTGTAGATCCTTGCACCACATTTGAGTTGCAAAACTTGCCACTACAACTTTTAAAATTTCTCATCAAACTGAATATGATTGCACACTTGCTCAACACTTTCTCTTCTCTGTTTTCCCACTTTTTTGCTCCTTTTTTTCCTCTCTTTTTTTGCTTTTTTTCTCTCTCTTTTCTTTTTGCAGCACAAAAGATCCAACAACAAGAGTCAAAGAAAACAACAGCAACTTTGGATAGAACTTGGTGCAAACACAAAGAGGAAAGCAAACAACTAGATCTCAGCAAACAAAGGCTTGGATTTTTTTGGTGGCTTTTTGGCTTTGGACTCTAGGATGGGAAAACCAAACTAAAAACGATAGATCTAGCAACAAAGATACAAATCCTACCGTGTAAACCTTGCTCTGATACCAGATGATGCGACACCGTCTTCGATAAAGAGAGCGTTCAAAGGGAGGTCCGATCTTCACGATGTAGGATCGATAAATGGATGGGGATAACTAGCTGCAAGCAGCCGGAAAATGGAAAATAAGATATTATGACCCGACGAGGAGGATGCTCATCGAATCTTGCAATCCAAACATTTATCGATCCACTACCCGCAATACTACCCCCACACAACCACACTCAAGTCATGGAGCACGGGATAGGTGCAATACGCAAGGGAAACCACGAACTCTAACCCACACAACACAATCTAGTCGTGGAGCGCGAATTAGGAGCAATTTCTCAAGGAATCACGAGAATAATGGTAACAAGAGCTCTCCAATCTCAGGAGGAGTCTATGTCTTTGGTCTTTGATAGAAATGGCAAAAGTCCCCAACTAAGGGAAGAGCTAGCCTATTTATAATCGGGACAACCCCCTAGATAGGTGTGAAAGAGAAGCAGCTTTGGTTTGACTAAATGGCTTAGAGACTTAATGAGGTATCTTCTGGAAAAATCTCGTTGGAGGTGGTTAGCAGTTCCCGACCAAACATTGTTCACTGGAGTCGAACAATGTTTCCTTCAGCAGCAAACTCGAGTTCTGGGAACCTTTCGCAAGTTGAGATATCCAAACTCGTGCAAAACATTGTTTCGTTAGAATTGAAACAATGTTTCTTCAACAGACAACTCATTTCTTCATGAGTTCCTAACTTTGTTTCTTCGCCATAAAACATTGTTTTGCACAGACTGAAATGTGTTTGGCCTTCTTCGATGTCGCACCTGAGTTCAACCAACAACAAAGGAGGTGAAGGTACAACCATGTTTTCAAGGTCAAATGATAGACTTAAGTTAGCGTTCACCTGATCATGTATTTGCATTGCGCGACTTCTTGTGATTGGACCGTTGATGATTGGTGGTGTGGTGCCCATGGTTGGGATGTCCTCATCAACTACGGACAAGAGGAAGAGGATGAGTTGGACATCGAAGAGGAGCCTTTGTTCGAGGACGAGCTCGCCAACCAAGCCACCGGGGCAAAGCCGAAGCGCAAGAGCAAGCAGACGAAGGCATACACTGTGGCCGAGGACAAGCTCCTTTGCGAGTGTTGGAGGGACATTGGGCAAGAACCCAAGGTCGGCGCCGAACAAAAGGCATCAACCTTTTGGATCCGTGTCCACGGTGAGTTCCATGAGCGCAAGAAGTTTCCGCCGTACCAAATGCAAAGCACGCGCGGGTGGGTGTCCATTTCGAAGCGATGAAGGGTGATCCAACAAGAGTGCAACAAGTTTTGTGCCACTCTTGAGAGCATCAAGGCATGCCCCGTGAGCGGTATCGGCACGCAAGACATGGTATGCTAGCAAGCAGCTCTCTTTTGTGTCATTCCGTTTATGCTTGCATGTCCATTTCCATATCCATTTTGCCAGTATGCTTGCATGCAATACATTTCTAGCCATTCCAAGCTTTGGAGGCGTTCAAGGTCCAACACGACGGCAAGTGCTTCAACCTCTCCCAATGTTGGAGGGTCATCAAAGACGAGGAGAAGTTAAAGGCACAATATGCCGCCCTCAAGTCGCGTGGGGGGAAGAGGGTCATGTAGGAGGAAGACGGCGAGAAGCCACGGCCGCGGGGGAAGACCAACTCCAAGAAGGAGGACAATCGGGATGTGGCGTCGAATGCCTTGATCGCAAGCGTGGAGGGCATGATGAGCAAGACGGACTCAAGTGAGGAGGAGCGCCAGCGATACAAAGAAGAAAATGAACGCCTTCATGGAGATCCAAAGGAGGAGGCTTGAGATGGATGCGGAGAAGCAAGCCAAGATGGTTGAGACGGAGGCAGAGAAGCAAGCTAAGATGCTACAGATCGAGGCCCAACGCCGAGACCAAGGCGAAAGAAGTGGCTCTCGCGAGCATGATTACCAGGGTGGAGATCATAAAGGTGGATCTCAACACCGTGTCGCCAAGGAAGAGGCCGTGATTCAAGAAGATGCATGCCGACATGCTCAAGTTCGACGACGAGTGACCTATGACGGCGAGCACCATCCTTTTTTGTATGACGGCTAGTATGCTGGCATGACCACGGACGTGATGGCGTGGTCGAACTCCCGTCCTTTTTTTGTGTACTGGCATATGTGTCGGCCGCTGGCAAGTGCGCCAGCCGAACTGTATGGTGTTTTCTGAAGCTGGCATTTGTATGCCGGTGCTGGCAAGGTGCCGGCACGAACTTCGGGCGACGACATGGCCGCTGGCATGAACTATGGCCGCGGGCATTTTCTAAAATTTGTGTGCGGACATAAAATGGGTCGACGCGTTGAGCGCACTGCCGACCCAAATCTCAAACGGAGCGGACGCCGAGCGGGCGGCTGACCCAAACCGACAAAAAGCGAACGAAAGCGTCGTCCGTTTGGATCGGCGCATTGGAGTTGCTCTAACGCTCCAGAATCTGTTGGGGCATTGTATCACCTGAGAGGTTGTATCACCAGATATGTTCTCTGGGTATCCCAGCTGAGAACCCATAACTCGACGACTGTATGAAAGTTGCCTACAACGACAACGCAAAGAACACGTACGTGGAAATTCTCTATTTTGGAAAACATGTACACGCAAATGGAGCCCAAAGATCACCATCGATCTGTTCCTCGAGAAGAAGAAAGATCCGGTCACTGGATCTGGATTTTGTCAACGAGGTATCTTAGTACGATACGAATGCCTGCCCCCCGAGGCATTCTTTAGCGTGGAATCATGTGCAGGTGTATAGTGATTGCAGATGTGTGTCGCAAGCAGTGACCTCGTCTACATGTGCACCAAGAATATAAAAACTATGGCAGATATAAAATTGCCGAGGCAAACCCAAACAAAACTTTCTTGAGGGAGGGCACGATCTTTCTAGTCTAGCCACTAAAAAGAACTAGTGCATTTCCTGAAAATATAAAAACATACACCAACAGAGTATATATACCGAGCAGATAACTGAATGATAAAACACAAAACATGTAAAAACTGTTGGACCAAACAGGAACAACTCAAGTTCACAAATCACAACGAACTCATGGTGTCGCAGCTACTGTCCTCCTACGATGCCATATTCGCTTTGATCTTCCAAAAAAAAAGGAAAAGCACAACCTGGGCAATATCAAAACAAGATCACAGTCCCAATAGTATATATCTGCACTGCTGCACAAAGGTTGGATCGATGCATGCACCCTGACTGGCGTCTCTGTCCCAGCTTGTTTTGCTCAGCTTGTCATGTGGTCCAACCATATTTTGCCCTTAATCATCTTTTCTGGGAGGAGCAGCACCAGGTGCTCTGCACGTCTCGTGCTACCCCCATGTTGTTTCAGCATCGCTTGATCCTCACAATCTTGTTAAGAATTCCCTGGGATTCGGTTCAGGTGTGGCACTAATCTATTCCGGCTTTTCACTTTCCCATACACCAGCAACTGAAATGTGATGTCCCAGATCATCGGTCTATGGAACCGTCACAAATCAAATCATACCGACTGAACGATTAAAGCTAATGTATCTTTCACAATTATTGAGATGGCAATGCATAGGCATGAGCTGTATCATTCAAGTGTCCATTTTGTTGTCTAAGGGGGCAAACAAAACTAAAAGGTCCTTGGGTCACCTGCCTCCCAGGATTCCATAAAACCAGAGAGGTGGCCTGGTTTTGCTGAACCCATGACAGGTCCCATCCCAACCATGCCAAGTGCTAAACAATCTGAATAAACTCTGGACAACCGACCCAGCTTTGCTTACTGCACAATTACGAAGAATCTTATGCTGAACTATGTCACAGCTTCAGAATATGGGCAAAATATTTGGTTTCCTGCATGAAAGGATCATTCTCATGGTACAAAACATAATAAACTAGCCAAGGCGAGGTTCATCAAGTTTTTCATACAAATGTTTACTGCCTGACACAGTGCAGTATGCACCCAGAAGACAGTGACTAGTGTCAATTACAACCTGGTCAACTGACTGGACTGATCACAGGCACATATCAAATTCAGCAAACAGCATCCATCCAGATCAGGACACCAAAGTCTAAACTCTACACATAGCTAGGCATCAGGCGGCAACATGACTGCAACATCTAATTCACAACACATAGAACCATGCATATATCTTGGGCTACCCATCTCTCTCATGACCTGCATCGCACAAATTGGCCCTATGAGCAGAATCACCTGCATGTCGGAATGCCAAATATGCACCAAATTCAGGAAAGGCGTACCTCAAGAAACTGCATCCACTGAATCAAAGGTTACTTAACTAGACCATGGTCCATACACAACACACAGACATTATATTGACATAACTAGAGCTATAAGCATTGCCAAGTGAAAACGCCAGCTAAAATTTATGAGCTAGCATCGTTTGCCGTCCATGTCGAGATGGCATAGAGGATGCGCCCTTTCCATCCTTGCAAGAGCCAGTGCTGATCTATATCAATCACAAAGTCCTTGTGGTAGCAGTTCTTGACCTTGTCTCTCGCTAGCTCAATGACCTCTGGATTCAATGGCAGCAGCTTCAAACCTGCCCGTTGATTCCTTACCTGCCATTGCTTATACGTCTCAGGACGCTCCACCCTATCTGTACCCTCACAGGCAATGACATTCAGGGCAGCACGCCCAAGGATGTTCTGCTCAATCAGCATCCTCTGTTCGTTATCCCTTGGGGTGGTTGTGTCCAGAACATCAAAAAGGGCCGAGTAGTAGAACAGAACCTCCCGAAACCGTGTCACAAAGAATGGGGCACTGAATGAGCCATTCACGATTGCATGGATGAATGTGTGGGGGCGCATCTTCCTGATGTTCTTGAGCACAACATCCCTTGGGCTCTCAAGCACAACGCTCTCGTCCATCAAGTTCTTGAATTGAAACAAGGAGTTAACAATGAGTACCTCATCAGGATCAATCTTCAAATCCTCTTTGCGGAGCGACTCCATCTTTGCCGTCGCGATGGCCCGGTACTCGAACGGCACATTAAACTCATGGGCATACTTCTTGAGCCTGCGCCCTGTCTCTTCAATCCGCTCTGTTGGCCGGAACCCAGGCTGAGGGAGATCGATACCAGTGATCCTTACATTCGGCGGCCCTCCAGGCCTTGTTGATATCCGTCGCAGAAAGCACGGCCACTGGAACCCATATTGTATACCATAATCGATGATATGTATCTTCTTCTTTCCCAAGGAGGCATTATAGATTGTACTATTTGAGAACAGGAAAGACACCTTCTTGAAACAGATGGCTGCCATGTACAGCTGGTAAGCTTTGAGCATGTCCACAGCTGAGATGCGTGTTGCCATGAGCGACTGGTGTACGAGGCCACCTGTGCCCGCCAGCCGCGCCTGCAGGCCCTCCGCAAAGCAATGCGCAAGGCGCTGAGTCCCATCGCCATCAGGGCGAGCATGCAGCTTGATCTGCTTCAGCAGCTCTGTAGCGCTCCGGCGGTCATCTGTGGCAACAGACTGCGCGCAATGGATGAGCAGCGTGCGCAGGTCCACCACATCGGAACCACCACGCCGGCCCCTCCCCTTGCCATTGGCCCCCTTCCCGCCGCCGCTATCATTCTTGGCCACCGCCTCCTGCATGGCGATCCGCAGGTTCTGCATCTGCACGATGCACATCTCGTCTGAGGGCATCAGCATCCTGTCGAACATCTCCCGTGCAGAGACGTCGTCTCCCAGCGCACTCTGCTTGCTGCTCCTGCCACCCTCCTGCTCCAGCTCGTCATCATGGTAAGGGTTCTTCCGACCTCGGCCGCCACCAGAGTTGGCCGAGACCGCATCCACCGCCTCCTCCTTCTTTACGCTGAGCACAACCGGCGCCGGCGCAGGAGCTGCGTGGCCATTGAACCCAGCAACGAGTTTGTCCTCCCTGGGCAGGAACTTGTTGCCCTCCTCGACGCCCTTGAAGAACTGGCCAGAGGAGGCCTCCAGGTCGATGACGAGCTTGTCCTGACTGGGCAGGAACTTGTTGGCCTCCTGCATCCCCTTGAGGAAGGCGGAGCTCATGAGGTCGGAGTTGGCGCCGCCGCCGAAGAAGGCGGCGGGATCGAGGTCGACGGGCTCGAACTGGAAGCGGTCGTAGGAGTCAACGGCGGCCGGCGTGGGAGGCAGCTGGGCGGCGGTGCCGACGGAGGCGTCGGAGGGGGAGCACGGGGAGACGGCGCGGTTGTTGCTGTCGTCGGAGGTGGAGTTGGAGGAGGGATCGGAGAGGATCTCGAGGAAGGGCTGCTGCGCCTCGATGAGCGCGGGGTTGTCGGGGAAGTCGTAGAAGAACTTGTCGTCGATGTCCTCCTCCATGAGTATGCGGGAGATGAAGGGCAGGACGAGGTCCTCCGGCGTGGATGAGGGGGAGTCGCCGCCGCCGCCGCCTACCCCGCCGCCGTGGCCGTCGGGGGAGGGTTTCTGGTGCTCCTGCTCGTGGTGCGGGGTCGGGGG